TGCGCCATTAAGTCTGACAAAAACAATGAACATCTTAGAAAAAACTTTGTACAGCTAACCAACAATAAGTTCAAAGTATGGTTTTGTAGATTATCCTAAGCTTGAAACTTCATTCTGGAGGCTGTTGATGTTCGGATGACTTTGGCCGGGAACTCTATACAAAACCCCTTTTTTTAGATAAGAAATCTGCGCCATTAAGTCTGACAAGAAAAATAAGCATCTTAGAAAAAAACTTTTTACAGCTCACCAACAATACGTTCCATGTATGGCTTCGTAGATTATCGTACATTGTAATTTTGCCTGGACGAAAAGCATTTGGAAGACATGTTTGTATATTTTCATACTTGTGCAGTTTTGCATACTTTATTACAGTACTTTTGTCGAGAAGGATATGTTTTGGTAGCGTTTGTACGGAAGTTTGGATGCAGCATAGGTCAAAGAAAGCTATGGATGGATTGTCATAAAGTTTGGCATGTGTTTAGGTCTAGGCCTGGGGGCTTTCCTTGGTACTGAAGCAAAATTTCTGGACATGTTAGGTTCATGATTTCTGAGTGGTGTTGCTCTTGTGTTTTGGTAATTTGTATCAGGTCAGCTCCAAACGCCAACGCCGACCTTCCATCATAGAATCATTCACGTTTTGTTTAACCATGCTGGTTTAAAACAAGCCATTTGGACGCAAAACATACATGTGAGTTCCACCCGTATCTGTTTTCATACAGCGTCGTTCAGTCTGACAGTGAACATCACTCGAGGCGTTAGATGTGTGTTCATTGACCAGAGAGACCCTCAGACCACCCACAACGTTCACGATTCATATCGGTCTAAAAATAGTCCCAAACTCGGCGATCTCTCTGAATCAAAGTCATAACCCCATTTTCTATTCTCACGGACCGAGACCCAACCGATAACACCTTAGGTCACGTATAATGATGATCCGGTGTGCCCCACAAATCGCCTTGTTTATAAGTATACACGAACCTAAACCAAACTATATTAATTCTCATACCCACTTAAACATTTGACATTAACTGAAATATCTTCACAGGGAGGTATGTTGAAAGGTCCTTCACCCCCGACCCGACCTTGCACTCCTGAGGATACAGGCAGTTTCACCGGGCTTCAGAAGAGTGTCACGGTGGGACGTGGTTTCAGTTACCGTTGGGAATATAATTAAATTTGCCTTGGAACAAGGTGGGCCTTTTTCATCCAGGTCAAAAACGCTGTTACCGTTCCGAATGTGAAATCATACGCGTTGAAGCTGGGCTTACAAAAACTGTTAGGGTACAGGTGTAACTTCGTGTAACTTCTTTACTACGAGATGAGTTTTGAAGGACGTCTAAGGCACTTCCAGATATTGCAAATATCTGTTTAACAAAAGCATCACACATTATCTTACCATTTAACAACATGTAAGGACACAGATCCATATAATGTTGAATTTGTGAATATCTATGTATGTTCACACTCCTTCTACTATTCCACTATTCTAGGTTTTATGTGGAATAACATTTTAGAAGGTACTAAGTTGTATTGACTGAGGATGGATGGTCTAAAGGTTTCAATGGAGACGCTTTTTGACCAACATCTCACGTCAACCCACACGCATAGTAACACCACAGTGAGTGTTCATGCTTCAATACATTGATCAAAGCTGAATACATCCAACTTCAAGTATGTCCTAGATCTGCCTTGCCTTGTGCATTCAGATACTACTATAGAAAACCCATCTCCGTCCATTGAAATTGACACACCAAAGGTAACATTAACAACATTCTATACTTTTCTACCTGTCTTCCCTTGTATGGTGCTTTCGTATTAGAAATCTTCAAGACCTAGATTAGATAGAATGTATTCCCTAGTAATTCCTAAGACTTTTACTATCTTTGATCCTTCTATCGTATTATGTTACTCAGTATGTTATACATGTACATGTAACATCATACTCCGATCTATACATTTAGCCTCATAGGCATGAAAATGCAAATAAAGACACAGTAAGAGTAAAATTCATAAGAATATACAGAAATCAATTTTACGTGCCGGTCTTCAATGGAGTAGAACTTCACAAAAAAGAAGGTATCCAGCAGAAATTCTGTCGGACAAATGCTAAAATTAACAGTAAAAATAACGTCAACGCTATTACATTTGTGATATCCATATGTTGTTACAGTCGACATAATAATCTACATACGACAACCCACTGATAGAAGCTGTATGATTGTTTTTCCTGGTATACATAAGAATTGTATACTCTACATTGAGAGTTACATTTTGGTTACACTAGTTCTCCAATGGTGTTGATCGATTTCTTTCAAACGAGGAGGGGGTACAATGCTTTCCATTTTCGCTCAATTCAAGCATAATTATGACGATTGCAGTACAATAAAGCCTTGTTTCATTGCACGCTTATACTCTCCCTTTGTTTACAAACAAATAATATATTCTGTTTGCAAACCATGCCCGAAGCGGCTACTTGCAAGTACAATGTTAAAACAAATACTGTATAAATCAACTATAAGATACTACGTTTTTCTACTGTGGTCTTTGACCTCTTTTTTCAAAAGTAAGTAATAGGCTACGTAGATATACAACTACAATTTAAATCAAGATGCTTAGCTCGTAATTATAATAGACTACATACATACACAACTACTGTCTAAATCATCTATAAGATACTACATTGTTTTACTGAGGGCTTTGACCTCTTATCTAAAAGCAGTGGATAATAAACAATACCTAAATGAGATTTCAGTAGAAACGTAGTCGTTAGTAGTCCATCTAAGTGGTAAAACCTAGATAACATAGTGGCAACTGTTTGAAGCCATCTGTTTCTTTCAGTGTACACGAAAGCACACGTTGAGTACACGAGTGAGACATGTATGGATCCGTTGAAGACCGTTTTCTCGTGAGCGAGCTAGATGCTTCTTTGGTTGGTATTTCGTTCCACACGACCTCCATTAGATTGCCTGGGCGGGGCTACAGGAGAGATACGGCGTGCGGTGCAAAGTCCAGCAGACGGAAAAGGTCAAGGCGAGAAATCAAAAAGACGTCCACATATTTCTGCCGAAACACTCTTCTGTAACAACTCATCAATCACTACTCAGGGTTTGCATACATATGGCAAAACCAACCAGCCATTATCGTAAAAGAGAGTGGTTATTTTTAAAGCATCACGTGCATGCCGTCTTGCTTTGAACAGCGGTTTCATGTTTGTAGTGTCATGGCTGTGCACATACTCCTAACTGTAAGCAAGCCGTAAAGCATACGTAAAGATAAATGCTGGGGATGAAACGGAACCTTTGCGCAAGGTTTAAAATGTGCTTAAAGAATAATTTTCTTCGCAGTGCTAGTCTTTAAAAAATACTATTTGATCACGAGTGCAAACATTGTATTTGTGTATCCCCCTCTAGATAGTGTAGTCTCTTTTACTCCAAAGGACTAGTATTTGTAGGGGACCCTGGCATATTATGTATATTTACCGGAGGGTACCTGATTGTTCCGTCACCATTAAACTAAAATCCCTACAGACACATTCATAATATTGGATTCCAGGGGATACATCAAGGGATTTGCACAGTCTGCATACGGTCAAAGTTTTTTTTCAGACTGTGTGCATATGTGAAGTTTTATTTGGCCACCCAAATAACGTAATTAATGTAGAAATACTATAATGAAATTTTAAGGAAATAACGTCAGTTATTGCTGTAATATTTGATAATGCTTAAAGTCTTCAACAATTAAAAAAAGGAAGAAAAATTGCTCAAACAGATTTTCCAAGTTGTTTATCTCTAATCTACGAGTTTCTTTTTTTTTTCGAAAGAGAAACTGGCATGCTGACGAGCCAAAAGAATAAAAACGCACAAACGTCCAGTACTTGAACTACACTTTTACATTCCGTGGCGCACACTGATGTTAAAACAAAAGATATGCCACGACACCCTCCCTGTGCAGCGATGCGGAAACCTTATAAATGAGGCCAGCAGGCACAAATAAATAGAAAGTCGATGGTATTTCCTTATGGAGGCCATTATTTTCAGTTCAGTGCGCCGAGAAGCCAGGTCTCCCGGGAGCTGCCTAGCGAAACGCCCACCACGATCAATCTGTATCAAGCAAAGCAGGGATTACATCCACTTTGATCCCATGCTTGAAAAACAGTGGTTAACTCTGGCCCACTGCAGGGATTTAATAATTCCTAATACCTAGAGCACACCAACTGCAGTTCTGGAGAATTGGTATTGAACCTTGTGCCGATTCAAAGGCGTGCTTTTATTTCTCTTCGATTATAACTAAAACCGATGTTTCCCGCTGTGAAAACGTGAACGAGTGAGTAGTCGTTGTGAACGGGCCATCGGGTGCCTCCCCACACACGGTTCGAAATTACGTGTGAACTTTGGCCTCATTACCGAAATTGTCGTATAATCTGCCGCAAAATTGGCGCACTGATTCCCCATCTGCCACTGCCTCGTAACTCCATGCCGCAACTCCCACAGCAAAAATTAACAGACCGTAAACGGTCAACTCTAGGCTATTCGGACTCTCTTCATCAGCCACTCGTATTGTTGCTTACATACTTTTTTTAGCGGAGACTACGGTTGAATCACGCTTAAAACATCACAAAAAATCTCTATCAACATCGAACGAGGAAGCGCTAATTATAAAGCAGTGTCAGGATTCTAACCCATGTCAGTCACTAGTAATAAAACTGCGCTGTTTTCTTACTTTTACGTCACGGAAATGACACATGAAACCATTCTTTACAACACGTTTTACTCTCAGGCGGCAATGCAGCAGATTCCAGGCTTGTAAAACTGTGTATGCGAACTGTAGGGGCGTCTCATTACCAGTAGCGCCTAATAACACGGTACTACTTTCCCCCCAACTATTTCCTGGGCAGTCGTAACGGTGAAAATACAAGGGTTTATTACCTCAATGCGACCGGGATTGTAGGTTACTTACCTGGTAACGACAAGGCTAATAAACGGGAAGAGCAGGCATCTTACCTCGGCTTCAGGACGGAGCTGGCGTCTGGTGGACCTCCTCTGACAGCGCCAAGCCCTCACACATCGATTAACAGTCCACCCGCGTAGCCTTCAACATCCACCGAGATCAAGGGCTCTCCGCTCGGAACTATTGGGGAGAGAAAGCAAATTCGATTCGATAATATCTCTCTTGAAGATTGGCCGCCTTGGAAGACCCCATAACACCAATCTTGGCGTAATCACTCGTAGTATAATACAAGGGAGAGGGGCGGGTGTGTTAATCGGGCTCTCTGGCCAGCGGGTCTTGATAGCGGCAGGGAAAGGATGTGAGTGGCTTGGCACTGCCAAACTCGTGGGGGACCCATTTATTACCATCAAACACAGCCTGACAGACGGATCTCTTCCGACCCGCGCTATAAGATAGGGTCGAGTCACCACAGGCTATCCTGAAAGTAAGGACTCTCCAGAGGGAGAGGGCCAGGATTCTTTGTGACAAGGCCTATCTCTTACATCATTTTGGAGAACATATAAATATGTAAAGGAAGTGTTTAAAAGTTTGTCATGCATTTGGAAGTGCATTATTATTCATCAAATTCATTACTCATTGTCTATTCGTGATACATCTTCAATGTTGGTGAAACAGTCGTTGGGAATGATAATAATTGAAGATAATGTTCGAAGCCAGCTACATCACGACTACAGGTTACCTTATGTTAGAGGAGGTGATTGATAAGTGGGATAAAGGTTTGGGAAGAAAATCTTTCAGTCACCGTGCCGTGACGACAGACTAGGAAGGGTTGCGGAAGGGGGCAAGTCAATCAAAGAAAGGTGGGAGAGGGAGTGGCAAGAACAGGCCTTTTTAATTGAAGTAAATGGTTGTATTCATAGGTATTCAAACTCTCACTAGTGGATAAACATGGAGATTACTTCCGAGCATTTCGAGTAACATCCATCACTCTTCTTCTACGACGTGAACTGACAAGTCTAGTCAGCCCGGATGCCATTTACCAAATCTTCATTAATGTGAATGGCTGTATGTAAGTTAGTCCTGAAACTACACATTAACAACAGTGAAAAACAAAAACTTGGTATGAAATTTAGCTTAGTTTTGGAACGTTGCCAGTTACTACTGATAACATCGTAACATGCATTCTTGCTAAGACGTGTTAAAAAGTCATTGAAGATGTTCTTGATCTGGTTGTCTGATCTAGATGTCATAAAATGCTATGAAGTAGATAAACTATTATACAAGGCAAGTTGAATGAACCTTACTCCATTGCAAATAAGTGCCATTCAGGAAGTGGGGGTGACAAAATATGACACCTTATCATCACCAGTGTGTTTAAAATCTGGAAACACAGCTAGTGGTGGTGCCAATCATTAATCTTAGACTTGTAAGATAACGGCACAAATATGTTGAAACGTGTATGTAAAGTTTAATCACCCGAAGATTTTTTCGCTTTACATATTTCAATTTTTGGTGCCAAAATGTTACATGATGCCCCTTAAGCTTTAACACTGACTCATAGCCCACATTAGCCTTCATTCTTAGTCAAAGACCCTGCACACATCTTCTCCAACGCTCCTGAGACCCTTCAATTCCTCTTTCTTTAAAAGTTAAAAGAACTCATTTCGCCCACGTAATATCAGAACCGCAGGACACGGCGACTTCTGATGGGATGTCAGGTACAGATGAAATACGCCTGCAAGGGTTAAAACGTGGAACGCCTAGATACGTAATAGACAGGCTGGTGGCGAATCCTTCACCTTACGTAAGATTGGTTGTTGAACGAAATGTTGTTGAACTTATCATGAACAAATTGCATACTAATGATAAAGACTTACATTTTCCCTTCTGCTACAACACAAGATATTCCATCTTCAACAAGTTCCAGGTATGTCTTTTTTTTGTTTATATAAAGTACATTTAATGTATCTAATATCTTATTTCTGATTGAGTACGGTGGTGTTAAAATCTATATGCAAGGATTTAATGAGATGCAAAAAATGTGCCCCGAGGGCTAGGTAATTTTTCATGGGTGGACAATACACACAGACCTGCCAATAGTGCACTTGTAACGCATTTCGTAGCCAGAGATAAAGGACATCATCAGCAAGAAGTATCCAAAATTGATACGATCACCTTGATAACTGAGGGCGTTCTGGGTGGATTCGTTCTGTCAGCTTTACTGTTATGGATTTTATGCCGGGTGCAAGACACATGCAAACTTAACAGTAGCTGAGAAAGAATTCTACGTAGCAGCCTCCAGTTTAATTTCGGACTTCCAGTTTAATTCCGGACTAATTCCATATCTCAGCAACCTTACATCTATGTGGGCTAATATTGTAAACTATGAGTAAAAATAATGTAAGAAATACGTAGACGAAGCATCCATCGACGACCCCTTGGGTATTAACCCAATTCTGAAGAATTCTGGAACTGCAGCCAGAATTCGTCAGAATTCTGTGTGTGGTCCAGAGGATGTGAGACACTGAAGTACTACATTCTAACGCTAAATGATGAATGCTAAATATTATGTATTAAATAACACTACGCTCTATCATTACAGAAATTGAAACGTAATGTAAGAGAAATTCAAAATACTTCCATGATATAATTTGGGATACTAGTTTCGACTGCAAAAAAAGAACAGCGTATACCATACTCTGACATTACAAGGCTGATATACTTCTTGACATGGCAACATTTTGGAGCAACGTGGTAAATTTGTTCCTTTCAAACTTCCAACGGCAAGCCGTGATTCAAACGAAACTCAAGTACGAACGTCGATATTCCTCTACCCGCCCTATCAAAATCAGGCACGTAGTTCGGCCATAACGTCGAGGTAAGAACTCACTTTACATCGCAATCAAACTACTTTATCTTAGCTCTGTTGTGCTCCGCCATTTGTCACGAGTTTACCAACACGCGTGATTGGAGATCCTCAACAATGAGCGAGCGACAGAGAGGGGCTATTCGTCAAAAGTCTGCAGCCGCCTTGTACTTGTCACGGTGCGCCAATGATAAATGTCGCGGTGACGCGTCACCACACCCCCGTTGCTTCTGTAGCTGTTCTGATGCCTCACTGAAAGTTGGACGAGTTCTCCGGAAACAATACTTAAGAGTTTAACTGTCACTACTTTACAAGCAGCACATGTGAGATACTCATCTGCAAATTTACAAACATATTCACCAAAATTTCTTCTTGAATGCAGGTTAACCATTTTATTTCTATTGCATTGCAGTTGTTTTTGTAGTTGTTCTGATGCCTCACTGAAAGTTGGACGAGTTCTCCGGAAACAATACTTTAAAAGAGTCAACTGTTACTACTTTTCTCATACGGCACATGCGAGCTACTCTTCTGCAAATTTAGAAACTTCGTCACCAGAATTTTTTTGAATGCAGGTTAACAAATTTTAGAGCTTTATTTCTGTTGCATTGCAGTTGTTTTTGTAGTTGTTCTGATGCCTCACTGAAAGTCGGACGAGTTCCCCGGAAACAATACTTTAATCTTTTTAATAAGAGTTAACTGTCACTACTTTTCTGATACAGCACATGCGAGAAACTCTAAAGAAAATTTACCAACTTCCTCGCCAGAATTTTTTTGAATGCAATTAAACCAACTTTAGAGCTTTATTTCTATTGCATTGCACGGAACCCTACCTTGAAGAAAACTTAAAGCTTTCGTAAAAACTGAACAAAACCTTTATGCACAATTACGTGTGAGTAAAGAATAGACTCTGTACAGAATTGACTCGTACATATGTGCTCTTATTTTGTGCTTTAAAACCCATTGGTCTCCGTGGACACCTTATTGGTCTCCTTGGTACAATTTAAGTATCTTCTATGGTATCTCACTTGGCAAAAGTTCAACCCAAGATGCTGTAAAAGGCACGCGTGTTACGAAATTCCCAATACAATGTTGCAAGCAAATCACTCTGGGGAATATTTACTACAGCAACCATTTTGAAGTCACTGACCTAAGAGATTATATTTTTGTACAGAGTTAGTTTCTCAAGTTTGACAAATGTTTCATAAAGTCTACAAATATCTACATGTGTATATCTCAAAGCCTACTGGCAATAAACCCAACCACCCGGGAACGATACACGGTAATACACTCTACAGGACGCCTATAGAGACGCTTAATCAAACAATTTAGAGAGAATTTATGGTATTTTTTATTTATTTATTATTCTATTCTATTTCATTTCATTTTATTTTATTTTATTTTATTTTATTTTATTTACATTGCCACATATACCAAGTATGTGGGTAGACAAAGGAACAGGACCAGGCCTTTCTCTAGTACATGTCTAGATTAAAATCACATGAAAAATAAAAGATTCTTTATTTCTGAAATAATAAGAAAAAAACGCGTACAAACACACACAACAAAAACATATCGCAAACAAGGATAACCACTACTAAATAAATAATACATAACTAATAGATAAAAAATAAATAATATAATTACAATGATAATAATAATAAAACAATATAATATAACAATAGTAGAGTTCAGAAAATTTTCTAGCATGCAACGCACGTACTTTACAGCTGTGAACGTCAATCATCACAATTTATCAAACCTCACTTCAAACACCTGCAGAGAGCGCTTTAGTATCTATTACACTATTCCCAAAGCATGAAATAGGCTTTATTAAACCGTTTACAAAACCCCGCGTCATCAATAATTTTGCGAGTTTCGTCAGGCTCCGAGGATTCGTCGCAGAAGCTTAGACCCGCATAATGTCCCTAAAACCCGTTCTCTCCGTGCCCCTATCGTCGTGCCTTTTGACCCCGTAGTCCTAAAACCCCGAATGTTTTCTCCCAGTGCCTCCCCAACCGCCGATAAAGAAAATTATATTGGTTATACAAATAACCCCATAAAATTTATTCACAGCCTGAATGACCGCCATACGCCGTAATCACTATAGCTTCTCCAGATGCGCCCGAAATTACTTTTCTAATAACACGGCTGCGAATTAATCACATTTTATAAAACCTGTTGTTGGTAACCCAGGGTCGGACCGGAGTCCCCGAATCATTACACCCCGCTCCCGGGACTATGAGAAACGTCGGATTTACGATCCCAATAGAAAGTTTCGCGCGCCGATTTTCCACGGGGAGGATCTCACACTTTA